GCGCCGCCGCGACGAAGGGGTAGATTGCCTGCAAGCACGCCAAAGCCGGCCGAGACAGACTGAACAGGTTGACGACGTGCCCCAGCCAGATCTCCATGACGTTGCCGTGGATCCAGCGGCGTCGCCGAAGGGCGCGAGTGGCCAGGTAGACGCGCCAGGCGCGTCGCGGCACGTGGCGCAGGCACCTCCGCTTCCCGTCGAAGACCACCCCGAGGCTCTCGAAGACCACGGCGACCTCGGAGTCGACGTGGGTGCCGATGTGCGCCTCCTCCGCCGCCTGCCTGAACCTCTGGACCGAGTCGAGCGCGGTCTCGCGGTCGCCGGCGAGCGTGGTGAAGTTGTCCACATACACGCCCGACACGGCCTGCCCCGCCCGCAGCACTGGGGCCGGCGTCCGCTCGCGCACCAGCGAGCGAGGGCACACCGCGCTCTTGGTGGCCAGGTGGGAGATGGCCTCGTTCGCGAAGTGCAGCGCCCACGCCCACCCCATGGCCATGCCGTGGAAGACAGGGTAGACCACCTCCGAAGGCTCGACCGCCACGCGTCGACCCAGATCATCGTCAAAGACCTGGGCAACCCCCCAGGCGCCCGCGGCCCGCGGGAGGTCGATCCCGAACCAGGACCCCAGCTCCTCGACCAGCATCTGGTAGAAGCAGTCGTCGACGTCGCTGGTGCCGCCCCAGATCTCCGAGATGCCGCCGAAACCCCCGAGGTCCTGCAACGCGGTGTCCGAGAGGTCCAGCTCGCAGAAGCCGCCAACCGAACCCAGCCGTGTCTTCGGCGGCGTCTTGTGGCAGCGGTTCGCCTGTCGGGCGTCAATGATGAGCCTGATCCACGCGGGGTCCTTCTTCTTGACGAAAAAGATGCCGACCTTCGCCTTGAGCTTCTTGCGGAAGCCGATGAGGTTGGCGTCCCTGAGGCGGCCCACGAGCTCGAAGAGGCTGTCGTGGTCCCGCGCCAGCTTCGGGTCCCAATACGGCCTGGGAAAGTCCTGGGCCGCCTGAGCTTCCAGTATCTGCTCTGCATCACGCTCCACGCAATGCTTATAGTGCTTGATGAGGCCCGCCGTCTCGGGCGGCAAGAGCGTCTTTGCGTCCTTCGCCACGGTGCCCGAGCGGCAGATCTTGAGCTTCGAGATGTCGTACTCGGCGAGGTTCTTCGGCTCCTGCGAGTACAGGTCCCTGGACGCAAGGAGCTCCGCGAGGGCTCCGTCTTCGCCCAGGTCTCGAGGCGGCGGGCCGTACGCCTTGACGCGCCGAGCGACGTGCTGCAGGACGTCGCATTGCAAGGGCGTCCCCCGCTCACCTCCGAATCGCCGCGTACTTGAGACGCTCGAAAATGAAGTAGTTGCGGCAGCGAGCTGGTTGAGTGATCTAACCGCTTCACACTCTCGCTGATGCCGATGGAGCTGCTCACGCCGACGCTGCTGAACATATCGAGGAGCGCCAGGAGAAGCCAAGCTCGGAGCTGCCGGCGACGGAAGCGGGAAGATCTCGCCATGTCGCCTCTGGCTGCAGAGCCGCCGCCGAACGCCAGCGCCTCCACGGTCAAAACTGTCGGCGGGGACGGACATGCTGAAAAGCCGCCCCAGCCAAAAGGGAACTGACCACTGGGGTCAGTTCCCCGCCTGCTTGTCGTCCCCCTTCGGCCCCCCCTTCTTGGGAGGCTTCTTCGGGGGGGGATCCTCGCCACCTTTGCCACTCTTATGACGCTTGTCCTCGTTGAGCCGCTCCTCACGAAGAAGACGAGACTGCTTGAGGGTCTGCGCACGCTCTCCCTGCTTCTTGTAGATCCAGCCGCGGAAGCCCGCGCTGGCCGCCGCACCGCTCTCGGTAGTCGGGCCGCCCATGACCAGGTCCAGGCCAGCGTAGTCGGGATGCTTCGCGTTCCTCTCGACCGCCATCTCGATTTGGATCTGCCTGCGCACCAACTGCTCGAAACACGCCAGGTTGGGCACGTTGAGCTGGTCCACCTGGTGGGCCAGCCGCAGGACCTCGGTGTTGTTGCGGTGCTCGTGAAGCGCCGCCGTACCGTCGCCAACACCACTGTCCTGCCTCCACTCGCTCTCGTACACCACCATCGAGCCGGGCCCGTCGCGTATCGACTCCAGGTACTCCTTGGCGGCCCTAGGCGGGGGGAAAGGCCAGTCGTCGAACGTCTCCTCCGTGAAGAGGTCGACCGCATCCGAGAGGGCCAAGTTCCGCTTCCCCCTCTTACGATGCAGGCCGAGGATCCTCGAGTCGCCCTCCGAAGACTCTCGCTTCTCCTTCCAGTCGTCGACCTTGTCGTCCCTGACTCGCTCCACGAATCGCTTGGCACCGAGCCAGTCCACGACGCCGAGGTTCCCGAGACTGACGAACCTCTGCCCGTCCGCCAACACCTCCTCGGGCACCTCCTTGCCGAAGTGCTCGTCGTCGACCTGGTACACGACCCACTTGTGGACCTCGACGTCGTCGAACTCGCCGTCCCCCAAGATCGCTGCCTGCACCTTCGCCTGGCC